CAAGATGTGCTCGTTATATTAATCCATGCTTTCAATTTGGGGTTTGAGATTTTAGTTTTGTATAAGATTCCCTTGTTTTGAGCGCCTAGGCGTCTAGTGCGCGGTAAGACGGTAGTTTGAATTGGTAGGCTTCGCCGACGTGTATACACGTATTATATGCTTTTATAATCTGGTCGTAAACTTTGTAGGACCTGGTGACACATTATTCGTTTCAAAAGTTATTTTAGTACTTATTATCCACAAATATAATTTTTAAGATTCGTAGTACTTTTAGAAAATTGTTTCTTAAAAAAACGCTACTCTTAATATTTTTTATATACTTGCTCGCAGCTATTTGTAGTAGTAGTAGTTCACGCACACACATGTTTTAAATCTAGCGCAAGATAATTATCAAAGTGATATTACTAATATTAAGAGCTTGACACTTTTGTAGTAGTAGTACACGTAATTATTATATCAATGTTTAATAAAAGTAAACAGCTTTTTAAAAAAATTAATTACTAGAAACGTTTCAAATGTGACTATAGTGGCGTCCTCACGCCCACACACACCACTTCGCCATCGCGAGAAAAAAATATTTCCTTAGCTGTGATAACTGGTTTGAGTTCGCGCGTGTAAGGCGCTAAATAAGATAGTTGGCGGACTTTCCAACACGTTACGTAGCGTACATCAAGCGCACTGGGTGACGCGGGACCACTGACGAGTACGAAACACGGAAGAATATTAAACTAGACAATGTACACGCTGGCGTGGAAGTGGAAGCACGAATGGGCACGAAAACAACAAAAGCCACGAGCAATTCAGTAAGAGACGAACCACGGGAGAGCACGCAGCCATACAAATTGGAAGGACAAGAACATGACGGGAATGCATGTACCACGGAAGGGAAAAATATTGACATCCCAGCATGTTGAAAAGCTCGGGTTACGGAAGAGCACGGACGTTCGAAGCCACAGTAGAACAGGTGAGAGTGCACAAAACCAATTCTCCAGCAACACCACGGCTAAACTTGGAGCACAGTCAACCGACCAAACCTGAGCCCGCGGGAGGCCAGAAACGGGAAATCATCAATCTTTGGAGCACAATGCCTGGGTAGAACAGGAGCTCATTGATCCACAAAGCGCAGCACATAGGTAGCTAACGATGACACAGACGACAGACCTGCCGCGACACCAGATGTAACACGATCGCATGGACAGTGGACCAACCACTAAATCATTGGAGAAAACGCAGCCACAGAAGTTATAGACGGAAGACCACCGAGTCGCGGAGAGTTATACCGGTGTAGAACATAAGCTTACCGAGCCACTACGACCGTAGTACATTACAACACGATTGCACGGACGGTGTACCAACCACAAACCGATGGGGGAACGGTTGGGGTCACCACGATTGCACACCGCGGAGCACGAAGCCATTGTAGAACACGATATCACGGGCAACGCAGATGCACAACGCAAGCACAATATCATAGACAGCGTTACCACACTGCGATTGTACGATAGCGTTGTAACGTGGTCGATGAAACCTCACCCGGAGAGCACAATATACGGGCGACGAAACAGCACGACTGCGTGGGGGCACCAAACCACGGAATAGCACCCTTCGGCTAGTGTACCGGCGATGGGAGACAGTCACGAAAGCCGCTGTGCCACGAACCCGGTGCAGCATACGTAAACGTTTGAGAACGGCGAATAGTTAGCATCCACGAAAGAGACCGCACTAAGGAGCATGAACCCAAGCAAGAAAGCGCATAACCACTAAGCAGCGTGAGCCACGGCTGACCAGGGAACCACGAGGCCAGGAAGAGCACGGAAGAGCACGGAAGAGCACGGAAGAGCGCGGGCTATTGAAGAACAAGACATCCAACCTATAGTACGGAGTTAGGGAATCGAACCAAACCACGATATTATACGGGTCCACATGAGACTACGGAATATATAGTGGTTAGGTACACGAAGCTAAGACCTACTGGGTAAACGACGCTCATAAAGCACGCGACACCAAGAAGCACTTAAATTTGCGGCCACCTCATCTCCAACAAACCATGTCACTCCGCCGCGTAGCGGCGGCGGCCGGCTAGTCCTAAACTATCAATCCTAAACTATCAATGCTAGCACGGTGTCTGTCCGTCCGCCACACGAAACGCTCAGGTTTTTGAGCCTTATCAATGGCTGTCGAGCGATGCTAAGGCGCTTCCGATTGGTTAAAATTGAGCTATGTAGCTTACATCAATAAATTCATGTGGTTCACAGAGTACATATGGCGCTTTGCACAAGCTTGTCCATTATCCGAAGGCGGCATCGTTTTAATACTACGAAAAAAGTTTTATAATGTACTATTTTGAAATGGGATATTACTATTAATATTTGAGTGCTACTGTTTCGCTTCCTAAGCTGCAAGGTGCTTAGCGTACACGTGTGTTTTCGAGGTCATACTATTAATACACAAGCTATTATGCTCTTTATAGTTTCGGCAATAAACAATGACTAAAAGAATAACTTCAACCGTTTTGCTGGAAAAATATTAAGAACGTATCTGAATGTGGTGTAATCGACTGAGCTCCCAAATAGTAGTACATGTACAACAGAAGCTGACCGTAAGAACTGGTCGTTAGATCAACGCTGCTAATAAACGTCGCCACTTGATCCATAAATACAGAGATCGGAAAATACAATACTGTATTGTATTGATGGCAAAGTTTTGCCGCAATAAAAATTCCAATATGAGCACTCCCAATCTTAAAAATTGCCGCAATTTAAGTATATCGGAGCAATATCTAGCTATGTCTTGCCCTTCCGTGTACTATTGCACCAGCCATGATCCCCGTGAGTATGCTGACCCGATAGTCGACTGGCCAAGCCACGCCAAGCTCCTCATCATTAAAAGTCGCTATCATGTTCTGTGGTAGGTCTGACGACGGCTGCCAGGTTAGTACATGAAACCCCACCCAAGAAACTAAAAAGTAGTCTTGCCCGTCTTGACTAGTTTTCTTAGTGTATATTCTATCAGCATCATATAAGTCGGGGCCATCTTCGAATTCTAAAGTTTCATCTTCTGAGTCCGGAGAGCCTCCAAGAAAGGCTGGCACCAGGGCAATTCAGCTGCTTCCTTCTCCAGCTTCTGCAAACTTTGCTCCAGGCTGTCAGGTAGACTTGTATGTTTCATTTTCTTCTGTCGTTTGGCGTTAGCAAGTGCGAGGAGTTGCTTGTTTCATTTGCTTTTACGTAGCAGGGAAGTATGAAGATGTAGCTGCTGCTTCACAAGTGCACTATGTCAGGCAGCGGCTGGGCCTACAATTCTTATCTAGAGGACGACACATCACTTTATGATATGAGGTGATTATTCTCGACAAGATGGCGAGTCAAGAATAGCTTTCTTGACTGGGCATCTTATCAGAATATTTCTTTTTAAGTGATTCATCGGAATGATGTAGCAACTAATATTTTGTGGTAGTAGTTGAGATTAGAGTACCCTGCCCCTCCAGTTTTTTCCGCTCGTTGCCGCAAATATTGAAGCGAAACAGCCCTTGACCAAGTGATGTGAAGAAGTAGGCGGCGATTTGCTTGTTTAGGACCATCGTAGCTCAAAAATAAAGTGAAGTTTGAGTTGTGGCTCGCGTATCGTAGCTTACCAGGCACTCTCGTAGCCACCGATTTCAGGTTGGTGTGGAGATGGTGTGGTGAACAACGAATATGATGTCATAAGATCTGATTGGTGATATCATATCGAAACAAGTAAAGGTTTCCTACCAGGGAACCTTTTGCCATATTTATTGTCAATAATTGGTCCAATACTATATTGTATTGATAAGCTCAACTACCAGTAATACATATTTATATTGCAAAACCCAATAATTTATTGAATCGCAATTATTATTTCTGACCTCTGCATAAATATAGATAGTTTTAGGATGAATAAAATGAACTGTAATTCATTGTTTTCTAAGAGTTGTTTAGACAGCAAAATCCGATACTACTTAACGGGCGGACGTGTCGTCGACAGGGGCGTAGGATACGATTTTAAATGGAGCGGCAATACAGCAACAAAACACGAGAGGTGTGATATATAGCTGGTTAAGTAGACCCCATAATGAAACGCTAATAAACTTGGAGCCTAAATGACGATTAACCATCCTGGAATCATCATTAATTATTACATAAAAAACACTTCCGTCCACAACAACAACACTAATTCAAATTGCTAAATTATAACTGGCACAGAATCGAGTTTTTTATACTAATTCTGAATCAGCACAAAATGAACGCTACATGCACAAAAATATTACAATTTGAATATTTTCATCAATCTTTACTTACTTAAATATTACAATTTGAATATTTTCATCAATCTTTACTTACTTAAATATTACAATTTGAATATTTTCATTAATCTTTACTTACTTACAAGCTCAAATAGGCAGTACAAGCGGGTAAGTAGTACAAGCTGGGCAGGCTATTACTATCTTTTGTGTTGATTTTGATAGCGTTTTGAAACGGCCCGTTAAACCGAGCACGACGCTGAACTAACAGTAAACATATTGTGTAGCGTTTGTATAAATGCCATTTGAGGTGCAGGTGATACAGTGATAACAACAAAAATAAAGAGATTGCATGAAGATAATTTGAATAATAATTTAAGATGTAGTAGGCAATGCTGGGCTCAGTCTTTTGTAAAAATAATTGCACGGATTTCTGATGACTCAGCATTTTGTAGAGACTGCATAAAATCGTTTCGTGCCTGATAATATATGTTATACTCAGATTATTGAACTTAAAAAGTCATTTTAAAATATACTGTATTATAATAGGCTCCGGTTTTTTGGAATAATTGTCCCGCCGAAGCACAGCGGGGCTAAACAACTAGAACTACTGGTTAACCTAAATTACCGCCGCGTTGCGGCGGCGCTCGGCTAGTTGTATGTTGGTGGTACTGAAACAGTTAAGTGTCTGCATCTCTCGCCTAGCATCATCCAAGGTTCCTCCGCAACACTTGCAAATTTAGCCATCCAATCTTGGAACCTTCTCCAGCTTTTCACCGACTTTGTCGGCCAGAAGATTGAGATTTGCTTGTATAGGAGGAATTGTACCGTAATTGTTGATAAGCGACTCCAGCTCCGAGTCCAGCAAATCCTTCCAGGAAACGTGAAGAATGGACTTTGTGAGGATCTTCGCGTCATTTTGCATGTGAGAGGGGGACGCGTCCCACAATTCATAAAGATCAATCCACAAACGCTGTTCATCCTTGACAATCATATTCGGCACGCGAGGATCTCCGTGGGCCACGCCAGCAGAGGAGCTGCCATAGCATGTCAAAAAGGACTCGCGCCTCCTGACTTGTAGTTGGATACGATATAGGCTTCCCGACAGGAGACAGCAACATCGCCGCGCCACCAGAAAGCTCTGTAGCCTCCCCACGGGTCGAATCACCAGACCAGTGTCCTGGGCACGAACTAACGCTTCGTATTCTTGAAAAAGACGTCTAATCGAGATCTTTTCCACGATCTTCAAGGCCAACACATCCCCATCTTGACCTACTCGTTTTACCTTGAAAACGCGTCCGAATGCACCACGCCCGAGAAATGCATCACCCTCCACCACCTCAACGTTTAACGTAGAGCAGGCAGCAGTCAAACGCGTCACCCACGGTGATAAGTTCTGGGTAATAAAGTCACGAAACAACGCTTTCGAGCCCTCCATGACCCACGTCGCCTTGGTAACACGCACTACAACTCCATTGATGCTTTCGATCAGCCAAAACAATTTGCGGTTGAAGAGAACGGCACCTCCTGGTCCCTTAGGGGAAACGTGCTGAATGTATCGCATGACTTGGCCAAATGGAGCCCCTCGCAAATAATTAGTGATCTTGCTCTCGAAGAGAACGAGACAATCAAACAGTGCCTTAGTTGCTGTCCCAAAACGAAATGAGGTACCCACTCGACTGACATCATCTTTTGGTGCAGGCTCCTTGTGATACATCCCACGATGAGTCACAAATCCATCTGGATTGAGGTCAGTATTGCTGTTGCCAAACATATTAATAGACTGCGGCAACCATTTATAAAGCTCGCTGTTGACGAATACAAGGTCGTGGCTGTCCAGCGCATTGCTGAAGTAAGGAGTAATGAAAGCATCAAAATCATTTTCCCTCGAAATGCTGTTGACTCGGGCTTGGACTTCCACAGACCAAAATGCATCTGCTCCGACTGTTTCTTCTGCACTCGAGACGAGTCCTTTCAGCTGCAATAGATTCAAATGCTCGTAGCCCAATTGTGCATCGGTTATAGTCGGCGTCGCGGGGTTACAAAATTTCTCGAATTGTTGACGAATTTCTTGCGCTCGCTTACGATCTAGTTCGCGTTTTTCTTCCGCAAGCTTGCGGATTTCTTCCGCTAGCTTGCGAGTTTCTTCCGCTCGCTTACGATCTCGTTCGCGATTTTCTTCCGCTAGCTTGCGAGTTTCTTCCGCTAGCCTGCGAAATTCTTTCGCTTGCTTACGATCTCGTTCGCGATTTTCTTCTGCACGCTTACGATCTCGTTCGCGATTTTCTTCTGCACGCTTACGATCTCGTTCGCGATTTTCTTCTGCACGCTTACGATCTCGTTCGCGATTTTCTTCGCGATTTTCTTCTGCTCGCTTACGATCTCGTTCGCGATTTTTTTCGCGATTTTCTTCTGCCACTTTATTGAACATTCGAGCATTCTCTTCTTGGATACTCATTGAGAGAAGACTTACGAGTTCCTGATCGCCGCCAGCCCCCTCCGGCACCTTCACCAGCATGTGAATTTGCTCACTGGATGGAAGCTCCATGTTGTTCTTCGTGTAGAACCACGTTGCTAAGGTCTTTGAGCCCAGAATCTGTTCTTCGGCCATCAGCGCATTGATGTAGTCGTCGGATTCTCCTTTTGCCAGCTTCAGAGCAGCCCGATGTTCGTCTGGGAGCCACTTGAGCCTTTCCTTCATCTCCTTCGCAGAAGGGCGGTAAACAGGGACGACCTCTTTGCCGCCCTCCTCTTCAAGGGGCTGCTTCGCAAGAAAAATCTGCAGCTTGTCTGGATCGACATCTTTGAGTTCGTTCGGCTTCTTCGCCTTAATCGCGTCCTTGAACTTGCTAACCTTCGCAGCATCGTCGATCTCAACCTCGAACGAGCTTCCTGGTTGACCAGCGATCACGCATTGTATTAAAGCCACTACCATTTTTCCGCGAGGCGGCTGAGTCTTTTTCTGGAATGAGGAAGAAGAAGGGCGGAAAAGCCCGTTCGTATTTAAGCGGAGTTGAAGACGTGTTACCTTGTAGACTTTGAATGACAGCTACGTAAGAAGAAGAAAAACTGCCAGCGTAATGTGCTGCACTCAACCGTTAAATCAACACGGCGTTGAGTGACGCAATGAGTCAACGAAGTTAGCGAATATTGAATGCTTCCCTTGCATGTAATCCCAATGTTGCTAGAGTATGGCGGCGCTTGGAGGTGTGGACGACAATGCATTCCTAGATAAAGCAGCAGGGCGGCCGTTCTTCGAGAAGAGGAGTTTGTAGATCAGCTGGATCAATCTTAGGGTGAAGAAACTCTGAAAAATGCATGTTGTCGAAGATGTTGTCAGCGAAGCCATAGCCGGCTGCGAAGAACGGCAGCAAGGCTGATCTTCGCACGTCAAAGTAACATCTTCGAGCTCGCGTTTAATGAGCAGCTGATGCGTTTGCTGAGCTTCACTTGATGATCCAGAATGTTGTGTGTGCCGCGCAAGTACGTTCTAACGACGTTCGCTCTTCCGAATTTGTCGCTGATATCATACGCAGTGGTCTTGAGTAATATCCACAAGGCTCAAGTTGAGCCTTGGAATATTCTGTTTAAGAGACTGATCAGCATTTCTGCCGAGACTGATTGGATGCAAACACCAAAGCGATGAGTGTTGACGATTAAATATTTACAATTAGGTAAGCAAAACCTGTCGTATCTATTGCAAATCAGGCACAGCAACCACATTTTTTTCTATACACTTTATCAAGTAGAGACGATTTTATTATCATTATTATTATATTAATAATTAAAGTACTTAGTAGGCTTCACGACATTTGCGTTAGGCAGTCACTTTTGTTGCATGTTAAGTTTGTAAAATAAAAATAGTACTATTATAGAAATAGCACAATACTTAGTAATAAAGCAGATTAATATTTTGCTCAATAATAATATCAGGATTATATTACCGTGCGTAATTGGTTAAACAATATATTTTTCTATCTTACTCACAGTTTACAGGCCCACGTGCAAGGCCAATATTGACCTGCTTCTGCTGAATCGACAGCGTCTCCGAACGGCCCAAAAGCGGTTCAGTTCTGGGAGGGAAAGTCCCCACCACCTGATTCGGCCAAAGTGCGTCGCCAGGATAGCCTGGCGAACGTCCCTATCTGCGTACGCGTCACACGTACACTCGCTCACTCGGACAAAGGGAAAGACCGCGCTATCTGTATCGTGAAGGTTCACAGCGCTTATTCCACTTATGCGCGCTCACAAATTAAAGCAACAATATTGAGTGGGAACTACGCGCGACGAATAAGTTGATGTCTACATAGACATGAGCACGTGTGTGGAAGTGCAAACCATACAGGTAGGCGTGGCAGGTTGATGTGTCTGTACGCAGTAATGTGCTTTAGTGTTCAGTCCATAATGGTCGAGATAAGAGCTCGGTGAGTCGCGGAGGACTATATACTGTACTCGTCGTGCGCGTATATATCGCGTTGACTACGGCTAACAGACACGCGGTCAGCTTGCTTGTACCGATGTGATATGACCTGTTCCCAGTTACTAACACGCTTGGTCATATAGACTGATTCATCATAAGCGTAAGCACAGTAAGCCAACACGACGAGGCCTTTGTATATATTTTGGCTATCCCGAACGCGTGGCATTAACGGCCTCGCGATATATGCATGGACACATCAAATAGCACGTCGAGCTGATAAGTAGGCAGTGAAAGTACTTCATTTAATGAACCTGAACTACTATTCGACTCAAATCTAAGATAAATACGATCAGATAATCAGCCTACAGCTATGTGGTTTCTTATGTTCGTCATACATATCAAAACCAGTAAATACCACTCGGAAATGATCTATGTCACTCTGTCCTTCAGTAAATGTGCAAATAAGTCAGTAAGTGCGTCAGATATGCAAGTAAGATCAATGCATGCGGAAGAAAGTGGAAATGCCCGGGGCTCACTCGTGCTCTTAAAGTGTTCTTTTTGTCTTGATCTCTTGTTCTTGATCTGTCCTTGCTCTTGGTCTTGGGCTCCTTGCTCTTGTGAGACCAAATGCTGCATTATTTTCCGTCCCGCCAAAAGTGCTTTCGCAAAGTGTGTTTTGATGTGGGAGCTCACACTTTAAGAGCACCTCTGTATTGCGGGACGGTAACGACTCTTCCGCATGTGGCTGCAACTTTGGTTTGACTAATCGGCAGCATGCGCCACTCGCGGTCGGCCTAGGACCCCTAGGCGCGTGCATGGTGGTAGACGCTCCCATTCACACCCACCCCAACCTGATTGCTATCGCTACCAACTGCTATACCACTTTGGAGTCTCGGGGCAAGCCTCAGACTGTATCGTGAGAGGTCTCTTTTGAATATATGGTAGGGCAAGGAGCCACACGCTCGTACATACATGCATATACGTCTAAAACTACCCTACTGCTATTATACAGCCAGCGCACCTTGTCCTCTCCGCGCCGTCGTTCAAAAATCCAATTTTGTGTTTTGAATGAAAAGTGAGTCGAAAAATATTGCCCAATCAGGGCGCGAGTTTTTTTTGTCCGCTTTTTGGCTATTTTGTAATTCTTGCATAGCTAGGTCGAGTCAGAAAGATAGGCGCGGTCGGTCAGAGGGGACTGAAATATATTAGACAGGTAGATTGTTGCCATGCGAAAAGGTAGGAAAATACAGGGAGACAAGGAGTGTGACGGACTGATTGACAGACGGACGGACAGACAGACGGACGGACAGACAGACACGCGGTAAGTTTAGCTGGCGGGAAACTAGCGCTCTGGGCGTCCGCTCCGCGGACGCTAGGGTAGGGTTGGTTGGTGTAGTGTGGATTGAACTACCTCCGCTGCGCTGCGGTGGGCTTAGAGTTTCCACGCAACGCACAGCAACATTTAGTACATGTATACTGTGTTCGACTAATGTTACGTTCCAAAACGCCACCGCACACAGTATCCTTAGTGCTCACATGTTATGGTAGACATGACCAGGGTTTAACGTGATCTGCAAGATGAGCATCATCTTACCCGGGAATGTTTTGTCTATAATCTAATTTGAGCGCATAGCTCCTAAAATGACGCCAATCAGAGGCGCGCGTGGTACCAAATGTACCACTGCGTGACAGTGCAAACCGTACAGATGGACTTGGCAAGTCGATGTGTCTGAACGCAATATTTTACATAGGTGTCCTGTCCATAATGACCGAGATGAGAGCTCGGTTGAGTCGCGGATGACTGTAATATGTACCAGCCTCGCGCGTATATCGCGTTGGCTACTGCTAACAGACGCGCGTTCAGCATGCCTGTATCGCTGCGGAATGGCATGTGCCCAGTTAGTGACGCGCTTGATTATACAGACTGATATATCAATAGCCTAAGCACAGAAAGCTAGCACGACGACGCAAAAGACCCGATAAAGAAACAGTGACCCCATGCATAGGTTGGGCTATCACGAGCGCGTGGCAAATACACTCATTAACGACCTTGCGATATATGCATGGACACATCAAATAGCACGCCGAGCTGATAAGTAGGCAGCGAAAGTACTCCATCTAATGTACATGAACTAATATTCAATTCAAATGTAACCATCACTACGATCTGATACTCTGCCTACAGCCATATATCTTCGTATGTCTGTCGTACATATCGGACCCAATATAGTGTCAGTCCGAAATGATTTACGCCTCTCTGTCAGTCAGTAGCTATGCAAATAAGTCAAAAAGTACGTCAGCTATGCAAGTAAGATCAATGCATGCGGAAGATAGTGGAAATACCCTTCAGTAACATCACAAACAGCTCAGCAGAAAAGTGTTAAAGCATAATATTGATGTTTGTGGCGACCATCGGCAAATACTAACTGTCCTAACAGATACTTCGCGCGAGGAGCTGATTAACATTGCTCTATTAGACCGTCGCAATCAATGATATGTGTCGACTGCCTCACGGCGATGACGTGCAGATGGGTAATATGTTTAAGTAGGCGTATTTACTCCAGCTACACTGGGATTCCCCACCGATCTACGCATATTTCGTAGCATCATTGATACTGACCCGTCTTCCGTACAGCATATATTAGCTTTGCAACCACGCGCGCCTCCGATTCGTGTTATTTTGGGAGCAATGGGCTAAAATGAGATTACAGACAGCACCTTCTCGGGTAAGATAGTTCTCATCTTGCAGATTACGTTAAGCCCTGGTCAAGTCTATCATAACACGTGAATACTAAGAATACTGTGTGCAGTGTTGGTTTGAACTGTAACATAAGTAGATCACATTATACATTTATTATATGTAGCTTCGCTCTAAGTAGAAAATCTAAGCACACCGCTGCGCAGCGGAGGTGGTCGTCCCTCTTTACACCAACAAACCATGCCCTTGCGTCTACGGAGCGGGCGCACAGAGCGCTAGTCGCTCCGCTTTTAAACTAGCAGACTGTCCGTCCGTCTGTCAATAAGTCCGTCCGTTTCCTTTTTTGCTGCTTTTTCCTGCCTTTTCGCATGGTTTCGATGGGCCTTTCAAATACAGGTTCCTCCCATCCTACCGATCGTGCATATCTTTCTGACTTGACTTAACTATGCCTAAAATACAATTATGGCCAAAAAGCGGACACAATTGCCTCGGGTCCTGATTGGGCAATATTTCGCGACCTGTGACACCGACTGGATCTGTCGCACGATCAGACCGCCTCTCTCCCTCGCGATTGGATGCAAGGTAAACATTTCTGCCGCGAGAGAAACGCACCGATTGGATACAAACCACCGGGCGAGATGCGCTGATTTTGATTTTTAAAATTTAGTTTAGAAAAACCTGTCCTATGTACATCAAATCGGGCACGCTAGCCACCGCTTTTTGTAGGGGCTTTGCAAACATTATTTTTACTTCTCCTGGCAATCTTCACTGTCAGCGTGCAAGAAGGCATGCGGCTGCACGGTCGTTGCGCTATCTG